TGGTTATTCATGTCATATATATAGAGAAGTAAGTGTATATAAGAGACAGTTTCCAAAAAATGGAAAGAGGTTGACAGGAGGGGCCACTGTGTTTGACTCAGTACATCAGCAATATCTTAGCAAATAGAAAAGATAATGGGTTCTTATTTTTATATTCTAGCTTATCAATATCGGTAATTTGAGTTCCTATTTTATACGAAACTATAAACCTAGTATTTTGACTTCACAAACATACCATGTGACACACAAAAATCGGTGTTTAGCTGTGTTCTTTTAATATTTAATTTTAAATTAAGAAATTAACTAATGTATAATACTAAAATTTGAATTATAATTTACAATTTGATACCAAACTTATTGACATAGATTCACAAAATAGTAGTTCATGGCCTTTGACATGTGACATGTCGAGATAAGGTTAACTCTCTCGATAAAACTGTAACTACAATTGAACCAAATCTGTACTGCAAAATTGTCCATTTTAGGAAATTTCATATTTCTTGAAATGACATAAAAAAAGAATGTACAAGATTTTCCTAAGAGTTTGTTAACATATAAACGAATTTAATGTTTCATTGCTACAATACAGGTAGCAAAAAAATATATTTAACTTTGGCTCTCAAGACCAAATATAAATATGAAAGTATTATTATTAAGTATGGTAGTACTTAAGAGTCGGGGTTCTGATGAAATAAAATGGCAGCCATAAAAATTGCCCATTTAAAATGTCTGAATATTAACAATGACTATTTCATACTATTCACTGAGCAAAACTTATTGTACTTATAAAGCCACCAAAACTGAAATGTGTATGTTTATGAAGTGAATCAAAATTTCACTGTTTCACTGAATTTTCATCTAAGTGACTTTTCCAAACAAGCGTACAGAACCTTATCTCTCTAATTATTTCAAAGAATTCTTCCTTCTGGAATACCAATGATTCATTTCTTGTACTGAAAAGAATATACACACAAATATATATATATATGAAATGGTCAATATACAACTTTGGGCATATAATTTTACTTGATTATAGGTTGGTAGGAATCCTGATGAGTAATAAAATCAATATACACACACACAAACCAGCTAGCTATAGTGATATAGAAAGTTTTAATACTACAAAAAATATTGAAACACGAAATCCAAAACTGCAAACTTAGTTACTGAGCATTTTTAAAAAATTATTTCTACTTTGGCTCAGACTAACATAATTAGCGATTTGCCAAAGTAGGGATAATTTTTTAAAAATTTTAAGTGACTCAGTTTTGACTTTTATTTTTCAATACTTTCTTTAGCATTAAAACTTTCTATATTACTATAACTAGCCATGTTATGTATATTTATTAATCCCTACTTTTAAAAATGTATTATACTTGTAAAGCAAACAAGACTGCGTGTATGATGAAAATCATGTTTCCTAGTGCACCTGACATAACTGTACCAATGCACAATAGCTTTTTGTCTTATAAGAACATGGTATCTTGTGTAGTAGTTAGTGAAAAACCACAGTAAGTGAAACAGACAGAAGCCTTTGATATTGGAGAAACTAGTTTCAACACATTTATGTATCATCAAATAATGGGAGTGTGAGACTGAAGAGGACACACAAAGGTGTTGAAACTAGTTTCTCCAATATCAAAGACTTCTGACAGTTTATTCAATTTACTGTTTTTTTTCACTAAGCTGCAGTGTTTTCATGTTTGTTATAATGTTATAATGCACACACTGCTAATCCGCTGTCTGTTGTCATCGAGTTTCAATATTCTACTCAGTTGAGCTTACACTAGAATGAAATCTAAAAAAAATTAAATTTAAGGTGAATGCCAGTTGTCTGTCAGTATCTAGAATTATAATGAGCTATACTAATTTAGATCTGAGCAATTTAATTGGTTAATCGAAATAATGATTAAATCATTTAATCATAATTAATATTTCCACTTATTACTGTTTTCAATTATCCCAAAATTGAGGTTAGTTGAAATTATGATTAAATCAACTGTCACAAAAATAATCAACTAATCAAAATTAGTGTTTATTTATTACTGTGAGTATTCAAACATTCAATTCTAAATTATAACAAATTGATTATCATAAAAATAATAAAATAATCCAAATTAGGGTTTTGTGTTATTACTATTTTTGATTATTTCAACTAAACTAGTAATCTAAATATTGTATTTTGTTTGTTAAGCACAAAAATTCATTAACATCAAATGTGTTCAGCTGAGCTGCTGATTAGAGGGAAAAACAACTGGCCAGCAGCACTTGCTATCAACAATAACATTTTCCTTCCCTGGAAATGTATTTCCAATAGATACTTCCCTCCTCACACAGAACAACTCATTTCCTTCGTGCATCTACCTATGAGATTCGCATACCACTAGCCTTGAGCTACCTCCAACCTAAGAAGCATGTTTAATATGAAATGTGTTAGTGCATGATGTCATCGTGTGGAGATAGCCTTCCACCAACAGAAGAACAACACAACCTCCTTGTGCAGTAGTTCCCCCTAAGTAATTGCAATCAAGTTAACTTCATTCTTAAATAAGGCAACAAGAAAGTGAAAAGGTGAATAATCTATCAGATATACATTTTCAGGTAAGGAAAATTTTAACTTTCGAGACCATACCTCACCTATACACACAGAATAGCTAGAATCCCTCACTGAAACAGTGAAGGGGCAATGCAAATGTTAAACCTAGAAGAGCTCCCTTTAGAAAGCACCTGAAGGGAAAGTCCATAGTGTAGCAGGGGCTCCATACTGGCACAACTATGGGTGATAGCATCTCTTTGTCTAGAAAGAAAGGCAAAAGAGTCCCAAGTGTCACACGGATGAGTGGAATTTTTAAGAATGTTAGCAACTGAGCTCTGGCACACAAGTGGACAGCATGCCAAGAAAGTGTGATTACAGCATGATCAGACCCTACTATACATTATACTACTTATGCTACTATACATTATACTACTTATTATAAGTAGTATAAGTAATATAATGTATAGTAGTATAAGTAATATAATGTATAGTAGTATAAGTAATATAATGTATAGTAGCATAAGTAGTATAATGTATAGTAGTATAAGTAGTATAATGTATAGTAGTATAAGTAGTATAATGCCACTGTAAGTAGTATAATGTATAGTAGTATAAGTAGTATAATGCCACTGTAAGTAGTATAATGTATAGTAGTATAAGTAGTATAATGCCACTGTAAGTAGTATAATGTATAGTAGTATAAGTAGTATAATGCCACTGTAAGTAGTATAATGTATAGTAGTATAAGTAGTATAATGCCACTGTAAGTAGTATAATGTGTAGTAGTATAAGTAGTATAATGTGTAGTAGTATAAGTAGTATAATACCACCAAACATTAATTGCTTTTGGGAATGATATGCAAAATCCCTTTTGTACAAAAAATCTTTATACACTTAGATTATAAAACTTTTATGATTTTGTACCATATTTAGAGCTTACTCAATGAGGTTGAAGTTTTAGACTGCAGTAGCCTAGAACCAGATGTACTATGTGATAGAAAACATAGTTATTATGTGTAATAAATGATTTATTTAAAGTATTTTATTGCATGTACAAATGTATATTTACATCATTAAATGATGTTGATGTTGTTAGTCAGTTTTGTGTTGTTATTGTTTCCTTTTTGATTTAGGAAAGCGTCTTCTATGATCCTGCACAACTTGAAGGAAGAATTGTTTCTGCTCTTCTTTCTTTGTTATGATGGCATTATACTCCTCAATAAAGGCCAAATCCTTTTCAGCATTGTCATTTACCACATTCAAGTACTGAACTTTCTATAGTGCATCTCTGAGCTCCCTTGACTCGGGGTCACAATTTGATAATGGCATGATGTTCTGGACAAACTAAAAATTGATCTTTGTTCCAAAAACTGCAGCCTTCTTGATCACAACCTTTGAGCTTTCACAAACTGTCTTCTTTAATGTTTAGTGATAGTAGAAAAAACACAAAGCACCTGTATATTTGAAGGTAACTTGCTTTCTGTTAGTTCAGTTTTTGTGAACCAAGCAGCCAAAGTATAGTCTTACTTCTTGTTCCAATATTGATTTGCAATGATATGCTGATAGTGTCATCTGAAGTAATACAGAAAAATCTGCTTAAGTGCTTATCTCAATGGAATTTTAGAAACTAATGTTATGTCATACAGAATATTCTAGAAATAAGAAGTGACAGCATGGATTATTTATATATGAAATATTCTTGAACATCCTGCATAATGTAGAATACTCTAGAATATGTAGTTAGAATGTGAGTTACAAGGTAAAGGTTCAGCTATCTCAAGCAACCCTAAATTTTATTCATTATGGATAAAATTTGGTGTGAATTATTATATATTGAAACAAAATGAGTGGGTGAGAGTATTTTAAATAAAAACTTCAAAGTAAGGATCACCCTAATATATATTTCATGCATATGTTTGTGACATATATTTAGATTTAGGATTTGTAAAGGCTAATAATTTCAAAATATTTGGTACTAGTTTCTATGTGTGCAAGTGAAAAAAGAGAGGTTAGATCCATGGTTCTCAACCTTTAGTCCTTGATGATAAAGATTGAACTTGGGTATTATAGTTTAAAAAAGTGTTTGATTAAGTTAACATAGTGTTTTTATTTGGAAATGTTACTTCAGTATTTATGTCAATGTTACTTAATATACTCTAAAATCATCTTCTACAAATATCTGATTAAGGGGTTTTGGGTTTGCAAGATTATCCATAAGGAAAAGGATTGAGAACTTTTGGATTAGAGCAAGAAAGGTCTTCTAATCTGCCATAGTACCACTGAGGGTTCATTGCACACCTCTAAAACCTCAGATTTTTCATGGAAAATAGATCCTGTCCCAGATTCTTGGATATTTCTCTTGAGAGTGGATGTTGATAAAAAAAATATATATCCACTCATAACCTTTGTGAAAGAGTTGATGTAACAAGAATGTTACTAAATCTTAATATTTTAATTATTGCAGGATCAAAACATGTTGTGATGGTGACAGAAGTTACAAACCCAAATAGTTTTTATTGCCAGCTTCAGAATGCAGTAGAACAGTTGGAGACATTGACTGTTGACCTTGAAATGTATTATGGGAATCTTGGTCCAAAGGTGAGAATATGCTAGACTAATATGGGTGGTTGGATATTATCAAAGGATATAGTTTTTGATTGCCAAAAGCTGCAGTATATGTACATCCTTTTTTTTTGTAATTGCAGTATCAACAAGTGCATTATGAAATATATATAGGAGATAATGATCCTAATTTTTCATTGTGAAATTGTCATACAGAATCCTAAAAGTAAGAACTTGTTCATGGAAATATTGTTCATGATGGTTATATTTAGTATTATTCATGTATCTTATTTTAAATAATTCTTTGAAGCACTGTTACTTCCAATACGGTCTTGCCTCTCTTACACAAAGCTCCCTCAATTTTCTTTCTGCCCTCTAAGCATTGCTAAAAAACAGAAACCAATGAAAACAAAAAGTATTATTGAAACAAATTAATGCAGACACAGTAAAAGAAAACCTGTTGAAATAAAAATTGGAATTAGCAAAGAAGCACAATCATAAATGGTAGCCACATGCGAAAAAACACACATCTAAATGAAGCCGTGCCAATCGAGGAAGTGATGATTGAGTGGGAATAGCAGAGGGAGCTAGCTGTGCCAGTATAGGAAGTCTAATACTATTAGTGGAGAGTAGTCACATGATATGTACATGTTCAATAGTGACACAAAATTGGTGGGATATATAGACTGGTGTACTGAGCGTGAAAATTTTTCTTAGCTTAGAGGGCAGAAAGAAGATCGAGATAGCTTTGTGTGAAATGAGGTAAGTACCTATTGGAAATCCATTTTCAGTGTAAGGGAATGTTAACTTTCACTATGAAGGAAATCCATTTGAGATTAAAGTGTATCAGGATATACTTATAAATTATGTATGTATGTCTGTATGTATGATAGTACATGGGTAAATATGACTATTTTCTGAAGTTGCACGAAAAGAATTAGTAATGTCATTATGTTATATTAGACTATTATGACTTTCTTGCTGTGCTTAAGATGATAATAAAAGGCTGAGAACTTGAAACATCTATAATCACATTTGTGCACCTGACTGGATTTTGGGCATACTTGTATGTTGAAAAGTTCTTTTTTCAGAACATTTGTAAAATCGTATATTGTTTATACGAAAGTGCTTTTGAAATAAATATTTTATTGCTGTGAGATATTTTGATTTTAACTTTTCATAATGTTTCATTCATTAATAATTGAAGGTTGCAAGGTTGAATGTAAGCAAATAGATTAGACTTGTGACTTCTAATTGACTTCATTAGATTATCATTAACTTCTGCTCAAAGCAGGTACCTACATAGATCAGAACTGAAAATTAACCCCATAATTAAGATAGCTAATTTAATATACCATTCTAACTAGATTTATGCAAATTTGTGTTGTTAGTGATATTTTCTACATAATCTGAATATCTCACAAGTTGTACTAGCTTAGAAGATTTAGTTTATTCCTGTATACCTAGCAAACAATGCAAAATAATCATAATAAATAATATATGAGACAAAAAATACAGATAAATATATATTCAGGAGTCACACTTATGCAAAAAATAAATGTGTATACAGTTGTGGAAGATCTGTGCATTGTATATGTGATATATGCAGTTGATATGAAATTAACTGTAAAACAATGAGATAGGTCTGCTTAATAGCAGGAGATTCAGTCAAGATACCAATTATGAAGTAGTTCTAAATATTTGAGTAACTGAATTGTGAAAATTAATGAAATAAGGAAATTGGACATAAAGTGAAAGATTAAATGAACAATCTTTATTATAAGAGATTTAAAATAGAAATATATTGTACTTGCTTTTATTTACATGGGACAATTGCTTCTTCGTAGATCCTTTATAATAAACTGTTCATACTGAATCCTTATATTCCAGACTGCCTCGTCTTGATAGATTTGGATTCTGTTTCTGTTGACTCCATACTGTCTTACTGTGTCTTCTATGGGGACATTATTTGTTTCTTTGTTATGGTAAAATTACTGAAGCTATCTGCCACCATCTTTAGTTTTGAAATGCAATTAGAGGGAAGACAACAAGCTGGCAGCATCTACTGCCAACTCTTGGGCTACTTTAGTGTTAAACAGTGTGTGGATTTATAGCTTTCTTTACATTGTTATTGTTTTAAATTTATTATTGTGTAACTGTAATCTTTAATATTGAATAATTTGTTGAATTGTAATTTATAACTTTCTTAACGTTTTTCTTTAATGTTAACCATATGTGGATTGGTGAGGATCAAAATGTGTATGCCCCAGCCATCAAACATAGTATTATGTATTTGATGTCATAGTTACCAACTTTTCATGCAATCCTACTTTGCTGTTTTTGCAACAGCTCATGTAAAGAGAAGGGAAAGCAACAGATAGGTATACAAGGATGCTGAAAAAAAATTTAGATAATTATTTAGGAGGCTGTAGAGGTTATGAAAATGAAACTTGTAAACTGTTTGATGGACAAAATTATTTTTATTCTTCACATAAACATTAACTTGTACCCTGATTTTTCAGTGTCAAACTAACTTCATCATTTTACAGACATATCTTTAGTACTTTATTAACTCGTCTGAGTTTTTGTGTACTACTAATAGGTTAGCTTGCCATATTTTGTAATGATACATTTCATGAATTCGGAATTATATTCAACATTTCTTCTCCATTATGGAGTCAGTCCAATGGATTAACCCCCGGCACATTCAGTTAAATACACTATAAACTTACTTATTGTAAATTGTGTATTTGTGATTTGTAACACTTCACCTCATACATTCTTTAGTGTATATTTTGGTGGATGTTGCAGCAGGTGCTGGCACATCTGAAAGCATTCTTATAATGAGACAAACACTTGCAGAGCAGTATTCTTTATCCACTTAGTTATGCTAGCCTTTTAACCATGTGATAAATTGCAAATGTAATTATAATAATGTTTTCAATAAACAGTAGCAAATTAATAAATTAATAGTTGCAATTTTTAATGCTATATAAATCATTTCATAAAGGTTAAAAAATAATATAAGTTTGCTTCTACATTGTACTTTGTATCATATAAACTAATGTTATAAAAACATAATCCATTATCAGTTATGTATAAATAAGCTTGATTGCAATATAGCCTTTATGAGAATTAGGGAAAAAATTGTAATTAGTAATGCCATTGATTCAGTAAAAAAAACAACAAAAAAATAGAGTATTATGCTTTTCTTTCAAATATGTCCAGAGAACATAATTGGATGTTTATTGCAGTGTATTATAATAATAATAACAGAAATAAAATATAATCCAAATGCTTTTGAAAAATAATCATTAGGACCTGTCAAAGCCTTTGGCCTTGCAGGTATATGTCATTTTGTGATTTGATGATAGTGGACTCTGTGTTTGGTGTTTCAAAATATGCAAGTCCTACTGCTTAATACAACAGATATTGCTGACTAGCAGCCTTTCACCTGAGCAGTATTGTGTAGTTTCTGATCAAGTAAAGCCATGAGAATGTGAAACAACTTTTTTAAAATGGTTGAATAAGTTTGGTTTGTGTATTCAGAAAGTATTCAGAAACTCGTAGACTATTATAAAAGAGCAACTATGCATTTTGATTTCATTTTTAACAGATCAGTATTTCCCAAATAATAAGTCACCATATGACTATTAAGATGCTCAGGCATAAAATCAGTTTATAGGAATTCTCATTGTAGGTTGTGATTATAATAAATGGTCTGTTTTGTCTTTTTACGAGGTAATAAATAGCATCCTGTTATCTTACATAAATATCTGACTGATCTCTTCCACACGTTCTAAGTTCTAAGACTATCCGCTACATCCTTAAATCTCATGTTACGTGCAATTCAATATCATCTGTGGACATTATATTCCACATTTGCAGAATTTACCTCATTTGCTGTAATGAAACTTGTTTCTGTTTCTTCAAGAAACTTTAGGATTTATTTTATCGTTATAACAATTTATCTTAATTTACTATTAGATCATGTTTGTATATATGAGAGTGTGTATGTGTTTGTGTATGTATGTATGTATCAAATGTTAATGACTAAATATAATTTTGTGCTAATTGTGAAAAAGCTTTATTTTTGCAACACTTGATTTGAAGTCATCACTGGAACTAGGTAAACACTTTCAGTCACTAAATAGTACACTGCATTGTTTCAAATCTTACATTAAGTTTGTTTTGTTATACATTTCTGCAAAGCTACACAATCGGCTTTTTTTTTTTTTGCTGTGTACCCAGCTTTTATCACTCTTTTATCACTTTATTATTTCTCCTACCTAAAAGGTGGTACATCATAAATATGAATTTAAGTAATTACATAAATACCTTACATGAAATTCATAAATTTTAGAATTTGTGGTTTTTACTATGTAATACTACTGAGGTTAACTTTGTGTATTATGTTGTATGAGGAAACAAAATTATCCACAGAAAACCCCTTTTACACTGGATGTGCACCAAAATATCCATCCAAGGCTTACTTATAGCTGATACTGTGTAACCTCAATGGTAGAAATTTGGTGAAATAATACATAACTACATGTATTCAATATTCATGATTACAAGTAATATTAAGAATGAACAATCCCTGTAGCAAGTTTATATGAGTATTGAAATAAATAGAAAAAAAATCAATTTTAGAAGACACATTATATCTATTCAAAACTTGTCTTTTATTTTATTCTACATTTATGAGTATGAATAAATAATTTCATTCTGCCATAAGAAAACACTTTGATAATTCAAATTGATTTTTCCCACAAATAAAAAACATTAATAGTTAAAAGGACTTAAAAAGTCCATAAAGATTAATAAATCATGTTGAAATTTACTAATATTTGAATTGGAATATGCAACAATCAATCATGTTACATCAGATAATTAAATGAAGAATAGTATTTCATAATTCTTTGGACTTGTAAGATAAGTGGCAATTTTGAAGCTGAACTAACCTGATTGAGTTCTGGCTTCAATTCATGAATGAGTTAAGCTCTCTCTCTTATATTCATGCTATGTGTGTGGTATGTAGTCATCTATTCAATCTTAGCAAGGGCCAGTGATGAACGTAGCCTCCATATAAAAGAGAGCTTATTCATTCGTAAACTAGAAAATCAGCTAAGTTCAGCTTGTAAACTATCATTTTTTTATGTGTTCAAAGAAAATGACTCTCTGTTTTTATTATTATGGTTCTTTGGTTTTCACACAATAAAGAAAAAAAAACAAATTTGAACATTTTCATGTCATTCATTACAAAGGGAACATTTAGTGTCATGTTCATTCATATAGAGGACAATCAGTTTGTCCTTTTTACTAATAAAAAATTGTGAATTTAATATTTATGTTGAAATTGTTTGTAATGCAGGTGTAGGGTCGGTGAGCTCTTTTAGTTAAAAGCACCTGATGTTGCTGTTACTTAGTAAATGTGGTCTTAAATATTTTTCTTTTCTTCATAGATAAATATAAGGTTTCCTGAATGAATATGTAGAAAATAAATCCACAAGCATTACTTAATTTTCATCACAAATTTTCTCTTAAAAAGTGATAAAATTTTCTCTAGTGACTCATTACTACAACTACAAATAGTAGCGTGTATATAGATTATTGATGCATGTAAACACACTTCTGTTTGTAAGTGTGCATTCAATGAAACAGCACACTTTTTATGCACCCTGAGAACCTTTTAACTTTCAACTAGTGGGTGAGGTGTATAAAGGTTTGAATAGCTTGCTTTGGTATATGTCTCCTTTCCCTGTCTGTAGCCTGTTGTGGGTAGGTGGTTTTTTTGTTAGTTAATTTTAGGCTATTAAAGGTGAATGATGAGTTAATGCTATTGAAAATTTTGGTTGGGAATTATACATTTTTAACATACATTAAGTATAATAGTATTGTCTCGAATATAAAAATCTATGCTTTATTAGTTGTTTAAAGTTTGGCAAACTTTTAGACTATTTTTGGAGCTGGGAAAAGTCTACTTAAGGGTTAAGTTACTTATCGCCCCAGTGATTCATTTGAATAACTTCATGTGTTGTTTTTATTTTGTTTTCATTTCTTGTTACTCTTTTCCCTTTTTTTCTAAGAAGCCATCTTCCCATAACAAGCTGCAGACAGGGACAGGTGACATATACGTGAGAATTTATGGTCCTTAAGCACCCACACTTGCTTCTCTCTCTCTCTTTAATGTCTGAGGCAGGTGAAATTAGGTTAAATCTGGTATATCCATAGTGCTTTATAGGTTTTACTTCTGCAGATACCTCAAAGTCCAAGATCCATCTTATAATTTCCACACTAAAATTTGTAACCATATTATTATTGTTTGCATTGTCTTTTCTTTTGTTTCTTTAAACCTGATTTTATATAACTGTTTTTATTTACGCACATAGGATGAAGTTTTGACACAACCTAGAGAGGATATTCCATGTGTAGCTCAGTTTAGTGAAGATGGTGCTTGGTATCGAGCTTTGATCACTAACATTTCAACATCAGGGGAGTATGAGGTCTTATTTGTGGATTATGGCAATTCTGAATGTTGTCATCAAGATGTTGTAAAATGTATTAAGCCTCAGTTTTTAAATCTTCCCAAACAAGCAGTTTGGTGTACACTTGCTGGTGTGCCTCATCTGGTATGGTCAACTGAAAACAGAGAAAAATTTGAAACTATGGTATTAGAAAAAACTCTCTCAGCTGTGTTTAAAGGTAAGATTAATGTATTGTGACATTCTTTGTTAACCAAATTTTGTAATTAAACATATGTTACTGAATAGTAAATTATCATAACCCTAAATTTTTTTTTCCGTTTCCCTTTCTTTCAAAATTCCACCAAAAATTTAAGTTCAAAACTGAAATACTAAAAGCCTTTCCTTGTCGAGTTTGAACTCATGCTGTTAAAAACATGTGACTCAAAATTTCTGAATGCTCTTTTAATTATTTGCATGGCATGTATGTTGTTTATCCATAATACTCTACTCTTTCACATTCCATGTGACTTATTTCGTATGTGTCAGGGGATTTTACATAAGCTTTGCTTTCTTGCCATATGCTAGATTGATAGTTGTGCTTATTTGCATTGGTATTTGGATCTTTCTGATGACTATTTCTGTTGTTGTTATACTTTCTGAGGGGGGGGGGGTATCTCAGCCTACCTCCTTCATCCTCTTCAGTTGGTCCTGTTGTCCAGTTCTTTTCCAGGTTGGCCTGTCACACCATGATTTTCACTCCTCTTGTCTGTCTCAGAGGAATCCTATTTCCTACTTCCACAATTCTGTTTATCTTCAGCTTCTTGGCTGGTTATTATATGCAGTTTTCTGTTAGTGAAGTTGACTCTTTGGGTACATAGGATATTATCAAATTATTGCAGACATTCCTCTTTAGTAGTCTACCAGTATTTTTTGTCTTTCTTTTTGAGTTGGTGTCTGTATGATTAGGTTTTTGTTCTTCTCCAACATGTTCACAGCTTGTCTTATTTTTTAATGATGTTTCTCTCTCATAGCTGGGGCTTATCTGATTATGCCCCTTTGTCCCTTTTCTTTTTGAGATATGGTCCTCTGTGGAAGTTAGTCTGGTCTTCAATTGCCTAACTTCTCCTTTTGTATCTTCACAACTTGTGTAACTCAGTTGTTTTTCCCTAATGATTCATTTTATTTTGTTACAAGCTTTGTTCAGATGTTTTTGCCATTTTCTTATTCTTTTTATAGGAAGTCTCTGTATTTACATCTAGTTAGACCCTTTCTCCTTAACACTTGGGCTGTAGGAGATGGTCACTGCTTCTCTATTCTGTTCCTTATTTTTCAAGAGTAGATAGTCTTTATGGAAACTTTTCAAGAGAGAATCACCATCCTTTTTTTTTTACCTAATGATGATGATTCTCATTCCATAGATCTTGCTCCATCCATCTTATTGATTGGTCTGTGCATCTTGTATAGCAGTCACAAACTGAAGCTTTGAAATGGCTAGGCAATTCATTCACTGTTATAAAAACTTGTTGAAATTAGCAGTTAACCCTCTCACCTCAGGTATCCTTTACTGCACATGACACAAGGTTTTAGTGTCCCACATTCAAAATTTTATTAAACTACTTTTTGCTTATGTTATAGCAATTAGTATAGCATAAAATCTTAGCTAATAATCCATATTTGAATAGTATACAAGTGTTATGTTTGTAATTTTATAAGGCAATATTTAAAAAAATTCTGAATTTCCCCTAATGTGATACATGTGACACATTTTCTCTGGGTATCTTCTTATTTCTATTTTATCCACCCCCCACTCCACTCCCAGAAACTACTTCATTGAAGCAGCATGTGCTGATCACGTGTCTACCCTCCACCAATCATACTGTTTCATCTATACTTCTATACTAGTGCAGGTAGGTCTCTCTACCATTCCAGCATAATCTTCACTTTCTCTATTGGCATTCTAGTGTATAGATGTGTGTTTTAGCTCATTCTCCATATGACTACAAAATGTTGATTGTTGTTGATCACAAATTTACATCAGTTTCAACTTCTTATGTTTGATTTCCATTGTTTCTACTCATTTGTTTCAGAAATGTTTCTGTTTCCCAAATTCTACTTTGTTCATATTAATTCAAGATTTAATATTGCAATTAATAAAATTTCTGCAATAAGTAGACAATGGTCCTGACACTAGTCTCAAGGTTGACAGTGTCTGCTGTTGGAGCACAGGCTTATGTTCACTGGTAGTTTGTATCTTATGTTTGACTGACTTTTTTTATTTTTGCACATTACATTTTTTGTGAGGTGGAATATTACTACTGTGTGGAAATTTTCTTTCAACAGCACTTTCCACCTGTTACCATGCCTCCATGTAATCTGCTGGGTGAGGTATTGTTCTTATCTTTGGTGAGTGTTTCAGTGTGTATCTCTCACTCCCACAGGCATACCCATGTTCAGTGAGTTTATATGAGCTTGTGTGGATGGACCTACTTTCCTCACTCAATAATTTAGGTCATTCAGGTCTTCTCTGCTCAGTATTTGGTGAGTTAGATTTTTATACTTCTTTTACCATCTAGGTTACTTTAGTTTAAACTTGTATTTGGAGTTTGATTATTCCCTTTTTTTTTAAATGTTTACTTCTTTTCACTGTTATTGTTATTTGGTTTGTAAGTTCATATTACTTTACTACAAGTCATATCTAATTGGAGATTAGATTTGAGTCAGACTTTGTTATTGTTAAGTGAGTGTTTTTTATTCTCATGTTCTTCAGGGTAGGTTTTATTTTCATGTCCTCTGTCTTATAGATTCATTGGGTGGACTTCTATGTTCAATATTTCAGGGTTGTTTATCTTCTAGGTTCCTTTAGTGGTTTTGTACTTTAGTTGTTACTTATTGTTCTATGTTTGAGGTCATATTTCTTAGTTTTGTAGGTTTGTTATTTTTTGTACTTTGTAGACTACACATTTCTAAGTTTTGTTAGCTCATTAGTAATGGGTCCTTTCTCTCAGTATGTTTAGTTTGTGTGTCTTTTTAGCTTCACTTCACAACAGTTCCGTGGATTCTGCAGGTTCTATCTGAGGGTTTCTGCCTTCTTTTTTGCTCCCCCTCTATCCTCTTCCCAGATCTCCTTCCCTTCTTCTGGGGATTGTACCTCATCCAGTCATCTTGCTGAGTCTGTTTGAGACCTACTACACAAAGGAGCTATTAAACAGGTGGTGCCCACTCGATTGGGATTTTACTCCTGTCTATTTGTTGTCTACAAAATGCACTGGGGATTGGAGTCCCATCATAGATCTGTCCCAGCTGTATACTCACCTGGAGACACCTTGTTTCATCATTGAGTTCTGCCTCTCACTTTGATTTTTGGGTTTTTTTTTTTACCCCAGTGTCATGTCGTCTTTCTTCGGTTCATCCATGAGAGTTCCATCTTCCACTTCTGGGCACTGGTGGTCGGTCTTTCATCAACTCCGTATGTATTTTGTAAAGTGGTACGATCTTTTACACTTCATCTTTACTGTTGGGTGTTCAGACTCACCATTACATGGGTGACTGGCTTTGGCTCGCCTCTTCCCATGCCTAATCAATTACTAACACCCACTTACTTCTTCAAGAAACTGCTTGGGTATGGATTCTTATCATGTTAGAGAAGTCCTTTACTACCCCTATGCATTTTCTTGCTCGTTTAGGGATTCACTCCCCATCTCGGTCGAGCCTAACCTTCTCCACTTCAGCTCTGGAATTTGGAGCAGGCAGTTACTAAAGCCCTACCTTCTCCTTCTTTCTCTCTGCATGAGAGGTTCTGTCTCTCTTGGGGATGTGGGCTTCCTTGGGGCAGGCACACATGCATTATTTTCATTGGATGCTTCTCAACCAGCAGAACTTCCACCACAATCCCTTGGACCATCCCATCTCCCTTCCACGTTGGATCAGGGCCATCCTTGCTTGATGGCACAATAGGGTCTTGACCATGGTGGGGATTGATTATCTTATCAATCTAAGGTGCTTCTCCCAGATGTTTTGGCTGGGATGACTACACTTGTTGATCACATAATAAATTTCTTATGCAAGATGTTTCCACTGGATGTTTTCTGCCCAGATGGACCACACTTGACATACTCAATAATATCCCAAGGTACTTCTCCCTGATGTTTTTGCTCAGCCTGATTGCATTTGTTGATCATTAGATAAGTTACAAACAAGATATAAAATGAACAGTCTTATACAAGGCATTTTCACTGGATGTTTTCTGTCCAGATGGACAAAACTTGACATAATTTGACATATATCAAGGTGCTTTTCCTGGATGTTTTGCCTAGGCTGACAACACTTGGCTATCGTAATATATATCCAAGGTGTTTCCCCTGGATGTTTTGCCCAGGCTGACAACACTTGGCTATCGTAATATATATCCAAGGTGTTTCCCCTGGATGTTTTGCCCAGGCTGACAACACTTGGCTATAGTAATATATATCCAAGGTGTTTCCCCTTGATATTGTTTGCCCAGACAGACTGCACTTGTTGATCTTACAAACTTATGCAAGGTGCTTCCCCTAGATGTTTTTTTGCCTGGGCAAACCTCACTTGCCATAATCCGACGTATCCCAAGGTGCTTCCTCTGGATGTTTTTTGCCCGGGTGGTCCGCACTTAGCCTATTCGTGTGCATTTAATGTTCCTTTAGCCCTAGCCACGTATACTTGTATCTGATTATCAGGCACCTGCCTAAATTCTAACTATCACTGTGTCACGTGCTCATGCTTGCTACATATGTGGTTGACTTAAGTGCTATCTTTTGTCCATGGGCAGAATCTATATTACATTACATGGTGCCTAACTATTATGTTCTGCCCTATATGTCTTACTGTGCTTATTACTAGGCAAAGAGCATACATGTTCCAGAAGTAGTGCTATACCCCACAGGTGTGCCTCCTTTTCTAATTATGGCACACATGTTCTTTTATGGCAGTTGTTCTCTGCTTGTTTGACTTCTGTTGTGTCTTCGCTGGCCCCTCCACCTTTTCCATGTGTGATTGTGGCTTTGGGTGAGAGGAGGTAGTACCGATTCAAGAGTTAACATTTTCGAACACTGAAAATGTATTTCTAATAGATACTCACCTCCTCTCACCCACTTCCAGCCCTTTATCCCCACTGATATGCAGGTGTTTCTAGCTTGTATCTGCCAATTTTCAAAAGTGAGGATTATGCTGGAATGGTAGAGGGAGCTACCTGCACTAGTACAGGTAGCACAGTTTGATTGGTGGAGGATAGTCACATGATCAGCATATGTTGTTGCAATGGCACAAGAATGAAGGGGTATTAAATACTGGTGTGCTATTAGAAATTTTAGCAATGCTTCAAGGGCAAATAAAGGTCGAGATAGCTTTGGGTGAACAGAGGTAAGAAATACATTTTCAGTTTTAGAAAATGTTAACTTACACCTGAAACCAAATTATTCTTTACTGATGAAATACAATATTCTTTTCGGTTTACATATCTATTACAAATTTTTGATCATCATGTTAAAAGTAACACACTGTTGTACTTGTTCTGTAGTTATATGTAAGCCTAAAGTTATCATGTATACAAAATTTATTATACATAAACTTGACAATAGCATGTTACATGACCTCAAATGTTGGATGGGCAGTTATGCATATATATATTAAAATTTCAGAGGAAAAATATGAATGGTCAAATTAAAAAATAAAAGTTTTATTGAGGTTTTTAGAATAAATTTCATCAAAAAAGAAGTATATACTTATGAGAGCTTAAAGTTTTTAGTACAAACTACAGAGTTATATTCATTGTTGAAAAGATAAATAAAAAATGATATATTCCTCCAGAAAATGTAATTGGTTTTATTTAACCCAACATCTTGACATTACAGCTTCATTGGAGCAAACAAGACAAGTGCTAACTGATTTAGGCTTAAACTAAGACTAAATCAGTTCACAAGTGACTTGTTTGCCCCAGTAATGAAGCCATAATGGCAAAATGTTGAGATAAATAAAATCAACCATCTTTTCTTTATCTTTTCAACAAACATATATTTACATTTTCTAAATATCACTGGCACAAATTCATATGATAATGCCATATAACATTAAGTTCAAACCAGTTTAAAATTAAGATAACGTAAAATCAGAATTAACAAAAAAAAAAAATCCTTGCGTGCATGGTGGAATATGTAAATGAGTCATGAAACAGAAATGCCATTGAACCATTGAAATGCATTATTCAATAGATATTACTGTAAGTTTTATCTACCTAAACACATGACCTTTTTGCTTCATTTCTATATTGAGATATTTTTTAAATATGTTGAATACTGTTGTTTAGAGCATATGGATGGTTTTTGTCACTGGCCTTTGTAGATTCTCTCCTGTTAAAAATTGCTTACCGTATTTGTTGTATGACTTGTTACAGATAACTTAGTGGATGGTCTTGGTGCTCAAAATTGATCCATATTCCCTTGTGCTCCAATGTCATTCAGTACGAGGGATATTCCCATTTTTCAAATTCTAAGTCCCTAATCTGAACACTTTATAATCAGTGTATGAATATCTTGTGTGAGATAGGGTTGTTACATACCCTTCCCAAAAGTGGTTAGTTTGTAGTGGTATCACACTATCTGTAAAATGCCAAATCATATAAAAATGTAGTTCTTGTACATTGTGTTCCACCATGGCTTTATTGGTAGTGGTTTCACATGTCTTGACAATTTGCATATTCAAAATATCTTTCAGTGGATCACTGTAGTACATGAAAAGAGAAGTTTGGAAGGATGTGTGGTTATAGAGCAACTACAAAACTGTTTTAAAGTTTGCTAGAAAAAGTGAGTTGTTACATAATGTCTTAATTTCTGAATATCAGATTAGGGAACTAGTTTTCCCACATCTTGTAATAATGTTTGGATATACATAAGAATAAATTATTTTCAAATCCCACACTTTCAGGTACTGGACCAGGAAAAAGTCAGTATCAAGTGGAGTTGATAGATGGAAGCAACAACAGGATAAACACCATTTATCAATCTACTGTCAAGGGTAAAACCTCATTTTCATCTATTCCTTCAAAAGTACCACCCAAACCTTCTGTAGGTTTTGAAGAAGATGCTTGTGAAGAAAATCCCTCTAATGGACTTCAACCAGTTGCCAACAGCTTCTCAAGACCTACCAGAGATCTGAGTAGGTGGGATAATAATCCACAAAGAAATATGTATAATGAAGCATTTGTTAATAAGGGGAAACAATTTGGGAAAGCGACTTCGCCTGGAAGTTCTTCAAATGAAAATGAATCACTATCCAGAAAAGACTTTGGTAGAAAGCAGTCCGGTATTCAGCACTTGTCACATACTCCTGACAAAAGTCAGTGGAGAGATCACCCCTCAAAATTTGGTAAAGCTGATTGTAATCGTTCTCGAATATCTAGTGGAGATTCCAGATCTTCAGATGAGTCTAGTGGTAGCTTGAAGAGAAATATGAAACATCCAAGAGGATCTTTCACAGATGAAGCCCGATCTACAAAACGCTCTATGTCAAACCAAATTCAAGATTTAATTTCAAGGTCAAAAAATCAAAACACTTCTTTACAAAGGGAAAATGTTGAAGTTAAAATTTCCACCAATTTTAAAGAACAAGTAATACCAGACAAAGCTTTTAGGGATGTGACTGTTGTCTATGCAATTAGTCCAAGTGAATTTTACTGTCAGTTGACTGAACATGCTTCTGAACTCATAGAATTAATGAAGAAGTTGGAAGAAACGTACAGTGAATTGAATGACAGCAGTTTGTCATTGATTAATCCACATGTTGGAAGTCCATGTGCAGCTTTTTATTCAGCAGGTGGTGCTTGGTATCGAGGGAAAGTTGTTGCCATTCTAGACACTTTTGTTGAGGTACAGTTTGTCGATTATGGAAATTCTGAGAAAGTTCCTACCAATAAAGTTAAGAGTTTAAAATCTGAATTTTTCTATTTGCCAATACAAGCAATTAAGTGCAGCTTGTACAACACTCTTCCTCGGGAATCATCATGGACCATTGATGATATCAATAAGTTTTCTGAAATGACAAGTGAAAAATCTTTAGTGGGACAGTTTGTTCGCAAACAGGTCAGTGGTAGTTTCTTAATTAATTTGATTGATATGGATAAATTAGAGAATGATATTTTAAACAAGGATTTTGTTGAGTCTGGACATGGAAAAACACTTGGAGTGAAAACACCAATTATAAGATCTCTGTCTTCTGCTATTGCAGATGTGGAAATTGCAGATCCTTCAATAAGGTTAGGTGAAAAGGAACTTGTTCAGGTGACATGGGTTATGAATCCTGGAGAGTTCTACTCCCAACTTCAGTCAAGTAGTCAACAATTTAACTATTTAATGTGTGAAATTCAGGCTTTTTATGGGGCTTCAACTTCAGCGGCTACATCTATTGATCAGCCAAAGGTAAACCAAGTGTGTGCTGCAAGATTTACAGAAGATGATGCTTGGTATCGTGCAAGAATCCTTTATCTGAAAGATGGTATGATTGGTGTTCTTTATGTTGATTATGGAAATGGCCAAGAAATACCACGAGATAGGATCAAGTACTTGATTCCAGATTTTGCAGCTTTACTTCCTTCCCAAGCTGTGAAGTGTTACTTAAAAGGTATCAAACCACCTAATGATAATTGGCCTTCTGTTGATAAAAGCACGTATGATAGTTTCTTTGAAGGAAAAACAGAATGCACATTTATTAAAAAGATAGATAGTGGATTTTTAGTGGACATGGAACAGAATGGAAAAAACCTAGCTGAGGAGTTTATTTTAAAAAATTTAGCAGAAAGAGAAACTGCATTAATTCCAGAACAGTCAGAATTTAAAACATGTGCCTATCTACAATCACCAAGGTTTGAAAACAAAACAATTAAATTAAATCAATCTGTAGAAGTTGTTGTATCTTTTGTGGAAAGTCCACAGTCTTTTTGGTGTCAGTTAAAACAAGCCATTCCTCAGCTTGATTCCTTGATGGAACAGATAGATTCCTACTACTCATCACTCTCGGATGATGAAGATGTTCTCTCTGCTTCAGAGAAGTTTTGTGTGGCAAAGTTTAGTGAAGATGAAAGTTGGTACAGAGCTTTTATTCAGGAACATGTATCACCAGAAACTGTAAGAGTCTACTATCTTGATTATGGAAACTCAGAAGAGGTGGAATTTTCTAAGGTTAGTTTATGCAGTTTGTTTTTTATCAGATGTGATAATAAAACTATGGAACTGTTTGTTTTAGAAACAAAGTTTATTAATCACCCAAGTCTAAAAACAACAATACCTTATATTGGGGAGGGTAAGTTAAACATAAACTGACTAGTAAATCATGGTGGAAATATGGTATATTTAACATGGTGAGAAATTTAGGTTTATGATGAACATTGTGAAAAAAAAGAGTGACTCATACTTTTACTAGTCTGTGTGCAAGGTGATTTTTCATGTTATGAATAAAAGTCTTTTTTTTTTATCTTATAATTTTCATATTTCATATGCTATTTTGTCTACCATAAGTTAGAAACCTATGTACATCATTCATTATTGTATAGGTTTTTGACAGTTTTACATGCATCTTTAAAATGTAATCCAACAGTTCAAAGACAAGACATGTCAGAAAACAATGTCAAACATATATATTCTTGAGTGGTGTATATAAGTTTTGGACTTTTTTCTCTCTCTCTCTCTTCATTGTTTTGTAGTTGCTGACAACTCTTGACCACTTACCTTTGATATTGTTCTCATTTGATAAATGCATATCTATTATTAGTACTATGTATGCACACACACACACATCTCTATTTAACTTATGAATACTAGATACATATAATATTTACCAGTTTATTTTCATGCATTCAACAAATGAATTTTCCTGTAAATGTTACTGTACTACACCATAATTTGCAACATGTTTACTCCCCAAAAAATGTTTTTTAACTTGTAAAAGAAAATCATGTTAATCACTTGACCTCAGAAAGCATCACTCTTGGGCACTGGCATTTGTGTATAATTATTTACATGTGAGTGAAAATAGTTTCCTAACAAACAGCATGAAAACAATTAATATTAGTTAGTACTAATCATGATATATCTAGTAATCTATGTTTCCAACATTAACCCTGTCTGTACATGAGGGTCAAAGTGCTTATGCCATCATCTGTTTTACAGAGTTATATTTTAAATTTAATGAAACAACTTTATTATTGATGCATGTCAATAAGCTTACCATTAAAATAGTTTATAGTTCAAAGCTTTATATTATCTGTCTTCTAATTTCTTAAATTCAAAAGGAAATACTTAAATAAATTCTCAAGATTTACTTGTCTGTATTCCAAATTGCTCATTTTAAATTTTCTTTATACTCTTATATGATCTTCTGAGTGTCGCACCAGATACACACTTACAATACAGAAGTTGGCAAACCAGAATATAAATTTTTAGCCTCCAAGCTTGTTACTTTACTGAGATATTAAGTTAAAATCAAACCCAAATGCTTTGCCCCTTCCAATCTCACCCTGTCTTTCAAAGAATGTTGACAATTCTTTCTAATGTTAGCTGTTGTATTGTTTATAACCAATGAAAAGAGCATATTGTTCTTAAGATTCGTTAGGAAGCTAATTTGTTTGGCATTTTTAATTGGATATTTGGCTTCAGTTTTATATTTGGGGATCATGCTTTTCTGATCTAAGCAAACAATTAATTTTTTAGCAATTAAATTATAACTGTTTTAGTATATTCTATTATGTTGTCTGATACATGTTTTATGCTTTAAAATGCATACATGAAAGCTCTAAGAATTATTTCAAGGATTAAGTGAAAGAAGTTAGGACTAACTCAGTTATGAAAAAATTGTTCAAAATTGGTAAGAAACATGTCTATAACAAAAACGTTTATTAATTCCATGTGGTGTGAGAGAATGTAGTTTAAATATAAGTTTATGTTCTAGGCTTTCATAATCATACTTTTGGGTTGGGAGCATGTAATAAAACAAGTACACTCATGTCATCAAACCCGTTGTGATCCGGAGAGTTGAAGTGTTTGGGAACTGGGTGGTCGAGGGGGAGTTGTTCCCGGAATCTGTCACCTAATCTGCGTATAGTTTCCCCAATATAGAGTTGTTTACATCTAGTACAGTGAATACAATAAATAATGCCCTCTGATGTACAGGTGAATTGGCCTTTTACGTGAAAGGTAAAGCTATAACTAGAGAGAGTCGATAAGTTGGTGATATAATTGCATGTGAAGCAAATAGTTCATTCACACAGATGAGTTCCGTTAGTTTGTGCAAGTAAATACATTTCAGTCTGTAATTTGAACTGTACTAGACAGTCTTTCAAATTCCCATCACATTTGAAAGAAAATATGGGTGGGGTGGTAAAAATGTTGTTAGATGTGTTGTCTCTTGTTAGTAAGGTAAAGTTACATTGGACAATTCTACTAATCTGTCTGGTAAAAGGATGGTATGTAAAGACTGAAGGAACTCTGTCAGTATGTGGCTTGTCCTTAAGGGTGGAGACAATCAGTTTGCGATAAACTGAATGTGGCAGAGAATATTTTATGTTTAAATACTCAGAAGCTCAACAAACTAACAAAACTAGGTGTTCCTATAGCCAACTCATTGTCAAACTACAGTGTGAAAAAAGTTGTAACAATTTCCAATGATCTTCCTCTTATGGAGACTAAGCTCTCTGTTTTATCAAAAGGGCTTAATTTTGTGCCCACCCGCAATCGACCGGATGAATATTCTTTGAAAGCTGACGTGGAAAAATTCTATAGGTGATGTCATTTAAATGCTCACTTTTCTAAACAAGACTACTAACAACAAATTACTAACAACACAATCAATATTGATTCCAATGGATCCTCAACTCCTTCCATGCCCAATTTTATTCCCCGATGACACTCTTCCCATTGATTCTATATTTATCATACCTACAACAGCAATGCCCATTCCATCTGATCCTTTAACTTGCTTCGAAGTTCGGAATTCAAACTGGTCACCACCAGAAGGAAATATCCTGAACCTTGATACTTTTATCAACCACTGTGGTGCTGAAATCAACACTATTAAATTGAAGAATACTAATACTAGGCCTAAGCTCTCCAAAGATACACAATTTGCTCTATCCACCTTGAAAACCTGCAAGGACATCATCATCAAACCAGCCGACAAGGGTGGTGCCATTGTTGTCTGGTGTAAAGATCTGTATGTTCAAGAGGTTAACAAACAACTAAGTGACTCCACCTTCTACAAACTTCTCTATGACAATCACCTTCTCCACAGACACCATACTTTGGCTGATTGACTTGTACTGACTTTGAATGCTTTTGATTTTCATGGGGTAAAAAAATCAACAGTTACAAGGTGTTGTCATGAGTACCAAGATGGTTCCAACTTATGCAAACCTTTTTGTTGGTCATGTAGAGAACAACTGTTCAGTACCTTCACCCACAAACTTCCTACCTTTTTTTTTATCAGGTACATTGATGATATTCTGGGTCTTTTTACTGGACATAAAAATGAACCCAACCTTTTCATTCATTATGCCAAAACTTACCACCCATCTCTTAAATTTATTTCCCAAATTTCTAGTCAGAAAGCTAACTTTTTAGACATCACTATTGACATTTCCACATCTACATTTACTGACAGCCATTCCTATTTACACTTTAATTCTTTCCATCCCTCTGAGCACAAACACGCTATTCCTAATGGACAATTCTTATGTTTGAGATGTATGTGCTCCAACAATGCTGATGTCAGGTGTAAAGCAAATGACATGACTCGTTATTTTAGACATCAGAACTATCCTGATAACACCATTGGAAAGGCTAAACTTGCCACATTCAGTTTATCACAAACTGATTGTCTCCACTCTTAAGGACAAACCACATACTGACAGAGTTCCTTTAGTCTTTACATACCATCCTTTAACCAGACAGATTAGTAGAATTGTCCAATGTAACTTTACCTTACTAATAAGAGACCAACACATCTAACGACATTTTTACCACCTCACCATTTTGGTCACATAATTTCACAAACTTTTGGGGGAGGCCCACTTGGCCCTCACTGTCATGAAAGGGTGGTTCCCTTTGGTACTTTGTACTGCAGTTGTAATCTACAGCTGCACATTATGCCAACACACATTTAAGGTCCTAATTTTTCAAAGGTGATATTAGTTTTAGAATGTTTAGAACTTCATCTTTAAATCTACAGTAGAAGTGTACTAATATCTTTAATATATTAAGCCATATTGAAAGAAAGAAAAAAAACTTTATAATTTAATTAAGTTAAACTAGAGAGCATGTAAATACAGTAAAAGTTTGACAACAGTCTAAATCCAGCATTGAATTTGGTTGTTTATTTGCTTGAATAATTTTTGTTTACCTGACTTAAAACATACTTTATAAGCATATATTACTTTTTTATGTGATTTAGAATTTTAAAATGGTATTTCTTTTGTGTGTAATGATTTCAGTGTAAAAGCCTGCATGAAAAATTCAAAGGTCTCTCAGCTCAAGCCATTAAGTGTCGACTCTATGGCATGCCATCTCAAAGTACTGAACAACAAAGCAAAGATTTTGTGGACATAATTGATGAGAAAGAAGTGGTGATTAAAGTGCGTAAGAAGAAACCTAGCATACTGGCAGTGAATGTTTTGGATAATTCCTCAGGCACAGAAGTGGACATTGGGGAGACTGTTTATGGGACCATGGAAGATGAATGTATGCCATTAATAATATTTCTTGAAGTTTGTTAAAGTATAAAATTGTAGAAAGAAATTTGTCATTTCAAGAAATAAAACTTTAAAAAGTACTGCCTGATTTCATTGTAACTTATATCTATGTTAATTTTACTGTTATTTAAAAAGAGTTGTTTTGCAATATCTTATTGGTTTTGTGCAAACTTAATAAAGATTAGGGATTAATTATTGCATGTTTTCTACAATTTTTTTATGTATCCACAGGTCCTTTGAAAATCAATGGACAGCCAGATATTCCAGAAGGAGAACAGGAAGGATATTTAATCATAGATAGTTTATATAATCTTGATTTTGAATTCTTCCATGTGCAACTTAGTAGTGCAAAAAACCAGATCAACGATATGAGTTCTAGAATCAAAACAAGTGAACTTTTATTGTCACACGAAGTAGAAATTGGTGAAAACTACTGTGTGCGAGAAAATGACATTTGGTATAGAGTCAAAGTGTATCATAATAATGGTAAGTACTTCACATAAAGTGGTTATCTCAAGATATATAACACTCACTAATGATTATAATTATCACAGATTTTATCTTAATCAAACACATTTTGCTGGAACATACAACTAGACACTTAAATAATTAGTGATTTTTGCTGTCTTCCACCTGATTGTGCCTAGCCACTTAATTAATTTATTGCTGAAAACTGCAAAATATGAATATTTATATATTAGGTTTTTTATTAGGTTCCAAGTAAATCATCTGCCTACACAGCTGATCACAACTCGTTTACCTTTTTGTGTTTTCTATCAGCATTATTAACCTTCTTGCTACAGGCAGGTCTAAGTGCAGATGTCACAACTTTTAAGTTATATTCAAAATTAATCAAAGTATTTCATTATTGTATACAAATAAACTTTGCTTCAAAATGTAGTTAATAAATCATATTTTAATATCATACAAGTTTTAAGCTCTTAATTTTATAAGGAAATATTTTAAAAAATTCTCAATCTTCCCACATATGAGAATTGTGACATTTGTTTTTTAAGTTTTCCTTCTTCTCTCATTTATTTACTACCCCTTGGAAATGTATGAAATTTAATGTAAATTACTAATTATAACATAAATATTAATCAGGCAAGGCATAATTTTTACTGCTTTAAAGCTTATTTGTTTACAGAGCCATAAAATAGAAAATCAGACTCTTTTCGCCATTCCCACTTTCACAAATTGCCAATAGCTTCCCCTCGACATGAATTCCTGTACGTGGTGAGGGGACCTCCCAGGGAAGGTTCTGTATTTACAGTTACTTTCTCTGGGATCTA